AAACAAACAAAACAAATTAAGCTTATTATGGCTGAGTCATCACACCTCATCAAAATAGCTAGTACTAAACAAATTACCAACACACATGCACGATATATTGTCAATACAGTTATTATTCCCACAATTGAATATCGCTTGCATAATATTGTTTTCAGCCAGAATATATGTAACAAAATTCTTACTAATCATATTGGACTTGTTAAAAGTAAGGCAAAACTTAGCCGTACAATTCCTACTAGTACACTACTTCATTCTCAACTATATAATATTTGCAACATATGGGATATCTAACTGCAACACCATATTACAAACTTTACTAAAAGACTTAATTCTCGTGATCTTCTTGGTACTAGTACATGTATTCGACTTCAACAACTACAGAATAATCTTTGGTCACCTACTAGTATATTAATACATGACAACTCTTGTATTGATGGACCTAACAAACATACAACTAGTTTTAAGATTACTGTCAACTATCGATATAACGGACACCTTTAGACCGGAATCACCAGTTTAACGGACTAATTACAAGGTACAGAATTTTTTATATATAATTTAAACCGTTATAACGGATGTAATAGTAAAAAAGCCATATTACGTATAACGGAAATCTCTGTCAGCCCACATACTAATTTTATTAGAAATTTGCCTACTTATATAACGGCGTCCACTAGACAACCAATCAAGATGCGGATTTTCGACACGTGACCAGTAATTAATGCAAAATGGCGCTTGGGGCATCTTCACTTTGTAATGCCTTTTTTTTTTGCACCAACCCTGAAGTCAGACAATAACGATAAGAAAATGCCGTTTTGTACATAAAGAACAATGACATGACGTATTGATGCCTTTTCCGGTATAGCCTTAGAGTTGAGATTTTTTATTTCTTAAATTTACTTTTTTTTTTTTTTTTTTTTTTTATAAATCTTTTAATTCATTTAATTATCTCGTCCATCTTCCGCTTACCTTTCTCAGTTACCTTTTGGTGCATACCTTTTTCAGTTGTCTTTTTCCGTCTCCTTTTTTCAGGTGCCTTTTTCCGCCTCCTTTTTTCAGGTGCCTTTTTCCGCCTACCTTTCTTTGTTACCTTTTTTCAAAGCACATTCCTCAATTTTCAATATTATCTCATGAGAACAATTAAAAAAACAACATTCCTACGCTCAATCTTGAGTAGGACCATCGGCTCTAGAGTTGTGATAACTCTAACGGCTCGGTTGGGTGTTGGATGTTTTTTTTTCTCTCTATCTTTGATTCTATCGCATTTTACTGAATTATCAATGATCAGACGCCCTATCTCCCTGAAGTATAAATTTAGGTGTGTGCAGATTTTATTCAGGGGTTTTTTTCAAAAATTTTTTTTTGATTTTAACGCGCAACACATTTTATCTTTTTTGCTCAAAGGAAAAAAAAAAAAAGAACAGAAAAAAAAAAAAGAACAGAAAAAAAAAAAAAGAACAGAAAAAAAAAAAAAGAACAGAAAAAAAAAAAAAAAAAGGTTACAAAGGTTAACACACTTCCTGTTAAAAGAAAACACCTAACCGCTGAACAAAAAAAGGAGATTTGTGAAAAGAAACTAAAGTTTCCGTCTATCCTCAATAATGAACTAGCCGCTGAGTATGGTGTTAAAAGGACGTGTATTTCTGACGTTCTTAAGCAGTCTTCTAAGTGGCTAAACGTTGACACAACAAATAAAGCTGAGGCAAATCGTATACGTGACCGTCAGCCAAAGTGGCCCAAATTAGATGAAGCTATGCGTATCTGGACCGAAAGTGCGCTTGTAGCAAATATGGATCTAACTCAAACTGCCCTTATTACTAAAGCTAAGGTTTTCGCTACAGCTTTAAACATTCCTGACTTTAAAGGTACCGGCTGGGTCAATAAATTTCAGGAGCGATTAGGTCTTCATCAGTATACTAGAAATGGTGAGGCTGCTAGTTCCCCACCTGCAGAAACATTAAATCAACACAGAGAACGTTTTCAGAAAATCTGTGAAGAATATACCCTGGAAAACATATGGAATGCAGACGAAACGTCTCTCTACTGGAAGATGCGCCCCTCTAAAACCCTTGCACAAGGCCCCGTTTCAGGCTATAAGAAAGAAAAAGCACGTGTAACTGTAATGTTAGCAGCAAATGCTACAGGTACAGAGAAGCTCCCTCCCGTGTTTATTCATACCTTTGAAAATCCGCGGCCTCTTCGAAATATTAACAAAAAAAGGCTTCCTGTCTGGTACTATTGGAATGAAACAGCCTGGATGCAAGTTTCTACATATAATGATTGGTTAAACCGTGTTAATGCAATGATGAGGCTTCAAAACCGCCATATTCTTCTTTTTGTTGATTATTGTACTACCCATATCCAGCAAGGGGAGCTTAGCAATATTCGAATTGAAAAGATACCAAAAAATACTACTGCTCACCTTCAGCCGTGCGATGCCGGCATTATATATTCGTTCAAGTGCCACTATAAACGTATTTTCGCGGAAAATCGGCTTGCAGCATTTGACAAAATGCAAATAGAAGGTTCTGAAATTAAAGATTTTAGCATTCTTGATGCTATTAATGCTACTTCTGAAGCATGGAACAATGTTATTCAGGAAACGATTATGAGCTGCTGGCTGAAAACGGGTATTCTTCCACGATACCAAGTAGCTGAAAGGGATCGGGCATGCCAGCAGGTGGAACAAAAGTTGAAAAGTGAGTCTGATGAACTTGGTGCTTTGATAATTGATTTGTCAATAAATGGTGAAATCGATGACCCTATGGATGCAAATGAATTTATGAACATCGATGCTGATGTCACTTTTGAGATGCCGTCTGACGGTGATATAATCTGTGCTATTAATAAGGACGATGACCGCCTCCCTCAAGAAGAAACATTACCAGTGCCTAGAGTTACAGACAATGAGGCTTTGAAAGCCCTTGATTTGGTTGAAACGTATCTTTTGCAACAACCCGAGGATTTTGTTGTAACTGATAGAGATAAAAGTACTGTCCATTGGTTGAGAAAGGAAGTTTCAAGATACGTCTCTCTTCAAAAGAAGCAGGCTAACATTACAGAGTTCTTTTTTTAATGAGGACCAAAGTTTTTTTGATCTTTTTTTTTTTTTTTTTAATCTAAAAGTAATTTTTTTTGTTTAATAATTTAAGATGATTGTTTTGAATGGATTAATTATATTTACATTAGAATTATGTATAATTT